GAAATCACATAACCTTGAGAAGGACTATATTAATCACTTTCTTTGTAATCCCTTCACAGTCCCAGGTTTAGTGAAAAACTGCTGTAAACACGGGGGACACAGTTTAACAATGCAACTTTTAATGACTGTTTTCTTTTTCCTTAACCTACTAATAGTTTGTGGATCTGATAAGCAAGGGTGGGTGGCTGAGAAAAACTCTGTGTTGGGCTTAATCAGTCACTACATCCAAACCCTAACAGGTCACCCTGGTGACCAGGGCATTCGTATAAGAAAAGCATTGTATGTGACTCTGTGCAGCACCCCCAGATGCCACCCTACTCTGATCATAGTGAATCTTCTGCTTAGGACACCAAAGATAAGAATTAGATACTACTCTCCTTTGTGTATAATCTTGTAGACACTTACTTGATTTTTTTGTTTTTTTACTTTTTAATTCTAAACGATACAAAATGCTGGTGTATCTATCTTTTCATTCAGCCAGCAAACCAGAATTAGATTATGCTCATTTTTTTCAAAAAGGGAAGTAAGCAAATAATAAATATTGACTCCTGTGTTTATGGGCTCACACACACACACACACACACACACACACACACACACACACACACACACACACATCAGCGGGAGTGACACACCCACAAGCATTTGTTCCCTCTTAGGGATATCTACACAGCCGAAAGCCACTTAGCAATAAGTGACACTTGTCAGTAAATGACACTTGTCAGCCTTGAAGCATCCTAGACAAGTGTAATTGTCCTCTTTTGGAATTTAATGGAAAGGTACAACACCTGATGAACTCATCCAAGTGATGAGGCAGGAGGAGCAAAATATAAATTTCTTTTGCTATAGAGTTAAAGGACAATAGTTTTGAAAAGCAAAAAAAAAAAAAAAAAAAAAAAAAAAACCTTTTGCTCTTGCTCGCTCTCCCTCTCCCCTCCCTTGCCTCTCTCTCCTCCATCTATTCTCTTGTTCTCTTGTTTGTCTTTGTGTATCAGTTTCCGTGAAAGACTGCAGTACCACTTACCTCAGATGAAGCCTGTGTGTTACTTCAAGTAATACATTTTGTTTTGACATAAGATGGTCGGCCGAGGTGCATTGTCTTGGTTCGGTCTGCCATCTCTGCATTCAAGCTGCACTTTTAGCCAGAGATGCAATAATTCCCCACTACTCAATACTACCTCTGAATGCTACAGTGAATTTACAGTCCTGCACTTGTTAACACGCTGCTAAACTGAGCACTGCAAGAGAGAAAAACACTCACTGGGCAGGCAATTCCACCATCCACAGTTCTCTGTCATTCTTGTCAAAGACACACCCTTACTCTGTCTCAGCATGGCTATGCATGTTCCTGTGATTTTTTTTCTTAATTAAATTTTTTTGCAAATGCTTGTCGAAGCTTCCCCGATAGATAGCTACATTAATTTGAAACAGTTTTTTACCAAGTCGTTCCTAGGTTCTTAAGGATGATTTTCTTCAGTGACACTACATGGTATCACGCACGCGCGCATGCACACATGAGTACACATGCAATTTGTCTGTAGTGTTCAAATATTACTCTCCAAGTCTGTACCTCAGATAAATTGTTGTAAGAAACAGACTAATTGACTTACAAGGACCTACCTCCAGACTTCAAAAGAACAAACTTGTAGCCTTCAGCATTCTTAAATTTTCTTCCTCTGATGTTTGAAATAGTTCAAACTTCACCTAGCCCTCATTGAAACTATTTTTTTTTGTAGGAAGACACTTGATAGAAAAGAACACGTTTTTTACGTGCTTTTGCAAAAATGAATGAATAAATCAAGCCAACCTTCAAAGAAACTTGAAACTTTGTAGGGGAGCTACAAACAGCTCAGCTTGTGCCTAATGCAATCAGAAAATAAAATAGGTTTTTAAGATTAGTTGCCTATAAGAATAATGCTTGACAGATATTTTCATGTATGTTACACAATGTGAGTTCTGTAAAATGTCTCAAGCAGATTTATTCTGAGCGCTTCTCGTGTAGAGTTTTTGTGCCTTTCTTTCCTAGCGAGGGCGTTGACTTTTCTCACGGTGTTATCCACTGGGCCAGGAGGTAGTTCCCCATGATGGCTTCTGTTCATGTGACTTTTAATACTTAAGCCAAATGAAACAAACAAACAAACAAACAAAACCATCTCTCTTCCAGCCACTTCAGGGAGGTCATTTCAAAGGCCACATACCTTTCTGAGACTGATAGAGTGCTCACTGTTGTGAGTCACCCAAGGAGTTATAGAGAGAATTAAAACTCAACGTGACTGTTCACTGTGCATTAAATAAGCAAATAAACAGTGACTCATAAAAATCAAATCCCCATCCCATATCTTCGGATGGGCCTTTTAGAAGCCTCGTTGGCCAGCTCATAAAATCTGAAGCAGTTTCTCATATTGGCCAGGCTCGGCACACGAGCGATGTCCATCTCTAATGAAGTTACTCTTAATTTCCTGTATGTTGTACAATCAAAACACACTGCTACCTCTTAAGTCCCAGTATACCTCATTTTTCATACTGAAAAAAAAAAAGAAAAAGAAAAAAAAAGGCTTGTGTCCAATGGAACAGTGAGAACATCATAAAATTTTTATATATATAGTTTATTTTTGTGGGAGATAAATTTTATAAGACTGTTTTTTACTGTTGTTGGTCACGGCTAAGTAAGACTGGACATCTGACTTCTCTGCCATTTCTGCAAGTTAGGTATGTTTGCAGGAGAAACCTATCAAGATGATTGACTGCAGCCAACTCTCTCCCTGTTTGTTTGCGCGCCCTCTCACTTTGTTCTCTGTTCCTGGTGTAGTATCGCTGTCTGTGATTGTACTTTGATGGCTTGCTTGTGGGAATACTTCTCTAGTGGATTATCACTGACTTTCTGCACAATAAACATAACAGCCTCTGTGGTCCCCATGTGTTCGGATTCTTATTCTTTGTCACAATTCCGTTAAGTGAATAATACAGTTTAGTCAAAACCAGGCAAGATGGGAGACATTCACAGTCCATCCGGTTTACCCTGAAACATACGACATGGAGTGTGATTTAAAATATAGTTCACTTTACACCACCACATGCCGGGACTTACCGGAACTGCTCTGACCTTGAATTCCATAGGAAGCCTGCTGAGAAGGAATGCAAAAGGAGAACAAGTTGTAGTTAAAAACCACAGTCTTAGGACTAGTGCCTACAATGTTTGTATAAAGATACAGACAGGGCGGGTCCAAGGAGATGGCTCAGTCAATAAAGTGTCTGCTTTTCAAGTGTGAGGACCTGAGTTCAGATCCCACATAAAAAAGCTGGACCATTGGTCTGGAGAGATGGCTCAGCAGCTAAAAGCAATCACTGGCTGCTCTTGCAGAGGACCTAGATTCAGTTCCCAGAACCCACTTGGTAGCTCACCACCATCTGTTAACTCCGAACTCATGCTAATACCATTTTCTGTCCTCCTCTGGCTCCAGGCATGCACATGGTACACATACCTATATGCAGGAAAACACACAAACATAAAAAAATTTAAATTAACTTTCAAAAAGCTGAGCATAGTAGTGCACACCTGAAAACCAAGCCTGGGGTAGGAAGTGGGGGCACAGAAACAGGCCAATCTCTGAAGTTCATTGGCCAACCTGCCTGTCCGTCAGCAAGCTTCAGAAACCCTATCTCAAGAAAACCATGCTTGAGGGGCTGTTCGAGCTGGCTCAGAAGTGAACAGATCCAGCTGGCTGCTCTTTCAAAGGAGTTGGATTCAATTCCCAGTCCCTACATGGCAGCTCATAATCATCTCTAACTCCAGTTCCAGGGGATCTGATGCCGTTTTCTGGCCTCTTTGGGCACCAGGCATGCAAGTGGTACACAGATATACACATGGACAAAGCATCCATACACATAAAATAACTTTTAATGTTATAATAAAATAAGTCAATAAATAATATGGTGGAGAGTAATAGAGGAAAGTCCCCTGACATGCACCTTGGGTCTCTACATGCATGCGTGTGTGCACACATATTTTCACACAAGTGCACACATCACACTCTTATACAATCCCATATGCACACCATACCCCACCCACCCACACCAAATATTTATAGTAATAAAAGAAAAGGGAACTAGAAAGTCAACTGTATTTGAAGTATACTTTAGAGAAACATACAAGGGTTTAGTGACATATATAAACACAAAATAAAAGCAGCCAAAGTCCCCCAAGATAGTTTTGTAAGTCTATTAAGACCATTAGCAGATTAACAGAGGCAGAGTGGCTTTCCGCCGACCGACCCAGGAACTAGAGCCCTCATCCAGTGGCTGATGGAAGCATTGACAGACATCCACAGATATACACTGAGCTGAAATCGGGAATTTAGTTTAAGAGAGGGAGGAATGAAGAACGATGGGGTCTGTACAAGGTTGGAGAAACCCACAGGAACAGTTGGCCTGGACAAGGGAGAGCACATCAACCCCAGATGCTGTCGGGGAGGCCAGTACAAGACTGATCCAGACCCCTGAACATGGATGTCAATAAGGAGGCCTCTGCACTCCAGGGAGCGTCTGGTGGTGGATTAGTATTTTTCCCTGGTGCAAGAAGGGCCTTTGAGAGCCCATCCCACGTAAAGGGTTACATTCTGGCCCTGGACACATGGGGAAGGGCCCAGGCCCAGTACAGGAATAAATTAAATAAAAAATAAAATAAAATAAAAAAGAAGCACACAGTACTGAAACATGAGAGATAGAAAGTTGTCAATAGACATGAGCTTACATGTGGTCATTTCTGAGTTATCCATCAAATGAGAACCTAGAAATGACCTAAAAAGGATAAAAAAATCACAAGGGAATAAGGACACTGATCCAATCTAGAGTACCCTAGAGACTATGAAAATATAAAGACCTTCCCAGAAATACCAGGAAAAAAATTCAAACCCTAAAACATGAAAGAAACTCTAAAGAAAATGATGTAAAGTTCTGAGCTAACACAATAGTTATTATCTTTGAAAATATATAAAAGTAAGTTTTATTTTTTTAATTATTAGACATAGCATTGCATTTTCTGTACACTTACTAATTTACTTCTGAAATATCAAATGTTCTAGAGATGAGAATTTTGTCTAGGGTTTCTAAAAATTTCAGTGTAAAGTACTTATCTGAATCTCAGACTAACTGAAACTCTAAGTATACTTGGGACTTCACTGATTGTGAGGTTGTCACTATAAAATTTTACAGTATTTAATGCCCTATAATAACATGGAGTTTCATTTATAAACCTTAGTTTCAGAAATAATCTAGTTTATTTTGATTACATAACATGAGAGTACCTTAAAAGCCTTAGATGAGATCCAGTGAAGCCCTCATCAATACCTGTAGTACTTTGTCAGAAAATTCAGAGGAAAAATTAAATAAGAATCAAGGTGAAAATCTGAAGAAAATAATTATGGATGCCTAGTGATGTTTCCATATGTGTGTAGGAAGCAATAATTTTTGCCGAGTATATGCATAGTAAGCTATTGTCAAGTCATTTAAATAGTCTTGCCATTTGCCTCTCTTGCTTTGCAATGAAAAATAATATGGGTACATGGAAAAAAAAGAAAAGTGCTTATAGAAGGAGGACACAGAAGCAGCTTTTATTATATTTTATTTTATTTTTTGTGTGTGGAGGTCAGAGGACAATTCATGGCAGTTCTTTTCCAACACCATACAGGATCCAGATATTGAACCACAGTTGTCAGACTTGGTAACAAGCACCAAGACAATTTGCTGGCCAAGGTAAATATCTTCAAAGAATGTACTGGATCGTTTTGTGTGACAACTTGACACAAGCTATAGATTCATAAAAGAAAGGAGCCTCAGCTGAGGAAATGCCTCCTTGAGATCCAGGAGTAGGACATTTTTTCATTTAATAATCAATGGGAGAAAGCCAGGTGGTGGTGGCTCATGCCTTTAATCCCAGCAGAGGCAGGCAGATCTCTGTGAGTTCGAGACCAGCCTGGTCTGCAAGAGCTAGTTCCAGAACAGGCTCCAAATCTACACAGAGAAATCCTGCCTCAAAAAAAAAAAAAAATCAATGGGAGAGGGCCCAGCCCATGGGGGGATGGTGAGTGGTGCCATCCTTGGGCTGCTGGTCCTGGATTCTATAAGAAAGTGGGCTAAGAAAGCCATGGGAAGCAAACCAATAAGCAATTCCACTCCATGGCCTCTGCATAAGCTCCTGTCTCTGGGACCTAACCCTATTTTAGTTCCTGTCCTGACTTCCTTCAGCGATGAAGAGCAATACTGAAGTGTAAGCCTAATAAAGCCTTTCCTCCCCGCCCCCCCAAAAAAAAAAAACAGAGGCAGAGTGATTCCACCATAGTCAAGGTTACCTCTACATTTCAGTCCAGGTATGATTTTTTGTTTTTGTTTCTTTTTTTTCTTTTTCTTTTTCTTTTTCTTTTTCTCTTTCTTTCTTTCTTTTCTTTTTTTTTTTTTTTTGAAAGCTAAAGTCTCCAGTTTGTGCTACAGCCATAGTTACTAAATTCTTTCTTCCTTTAGTTCCTTCAAAGGGAAGTTTGTTTCTAAGAACACACCTCCTCTAAGATAGCTCCTGTTGGGAATTTCTTTTTTAAAGTCAGACTTATCACTGATTCATTCTCACAACTAATTATTTAGGGAGGTACCCAATTGTGATAGGTTCCAGACCAAGAGGTGATGTTTCAAGATATCACAACACTGGGGGCATTGTGTGGATATAGAAATAGTTACAGTACAGACCATATGAGAAAAGGATCAGCCAACTGGGCAGGGAAGAAGTTACAGGAATCCAGAGGAGGAAAGTCATTCTTCATGGAGTGAACAGTCAACTCTACCATTAGTTCAGCCCCAAAGAAGAAAGACTAACCAAGCACATTTATCATAACCCATATTTTTTGTTACAAAAGCATATAACAAGAAGCTGGTTTTTAAAAAAAATAAATAAATAAAATAAACAAGAAGAGCAAGTCATTGGCTTGAAACTAGAAAGAATTCAAGAATACATGATATCCAGATTAAGATGAATGAATGATTAAGGGTTAAATGTGTATATTCCAGAGGTGCGAGACTCACTAAATGATCTCTGAAATGGGTGTCTTTTAATTGATGCATTGCCTTCAAACAATGAAACCACTTTGATGACAGATATATTGATGAAACCTAAGTTCATATATAAATTCAGGGTTGTGCACTAAAGAAATCAGTCACCGCAGTTAGTTAACAGTGGAGTCCTTTGATGTGCTTGACCTTGTTTGGGGTAATAAAGGTAAGTAGCCTCTACCCTTGCCCACGGTGTCAAATTACTGATAAAAGAGCAGATTCCAAGGAGATTGATAACATTCTGAAGAATGGATACATCCTGCACTTTCCACCAGTACTAGGAACAAATTGTCCCCTAGCCCTCTCAGAAGAATGTGAGGTCCCCACCACAGAGGAATCCTGGTGCAGCAAAGACAATGATGTACCATTCACCTAGGAGTGTAGGTGTAGGGCAGAGGAGTATTTTTCAATAGAGCCAAGGTGCTCAACTATTTGGTGAATTCAGCAGTGGTAGGTGGTTTAGAAGCACAAGAAGGAAAAAAAACAATAACAGCAAAAATAATAATAATAATAGTCCTCCACCCAGGGGGTGCCTAGGATGCTAACCAGGTAAGACTTCATGAACCTAAGAGAGTAAGAAGCCCAAGAAGAGACCAAGGCAAGTGGTGCAGTGCTCTTCAAGGCTCATGAAGTGGCTACTTACCAAGTAGGACTAAGTGAAGTTATCCTTGAGCATTTACTCTTGAGATTTAGGAAGTGGGGAAGAAGCTCTTTTAGCCAAGATCATTCTGCAATGTGTTATGGAGATGGATAATGACCGATGGCAGAGGTGACCCTTCCTGTCTAAGCTTAGCTGTAAATTTTGCAATCTATACTCCTCCTGAAGTAGAAGGGGCATGGCTGTACATGTAAGCCTCTGCACTCAAGACTCCATCCATCCTAAGCAGGTCATGTCTCTGTTGTTCTGCTCTTACCGCAACATCCAGTTACAGCCTATGAGAAAATACCTTATGTTGGTGAGTAATAGCTCTCTGCGTACAGTTGACAATAGTTGTAATCTTGCCCTATTCCTTTGAGCCCAACTCAA